GTTTTATAATTTCAGAAAATATCTAGCACTTTGTTCATTTTTTATATATAATCAAAAAAAAGAACTTGAAGCAATTAATAAAAAATGTCTTCAGATTTGGATACATCTTTTCAACCTCAAAATTCTTTTTCAGATACTGATGCATCTCCGCAGCCTCAAAATTCTAATACTATAAAAATGATTTCACCTGCTAAAAATAATGGTTATCCAAGAAAAAGAAACAATAATACTAATATAGCTTGTCATAGTATTGTTCATTATTTTTATAAAGGAGATTTCATTTTAAAAACTGCTCAATATAAAATTTGCATTGAAAGCTTAAGAATATGAACGTTGAAGCATATATTTATCAAACTCATGGTTCAACTACCAATTTGCATAATTATTTGAAAATTCATAGAATTAATAAACTTAATTATAAAAATTTTCTGGATGAACATAATGAAGTAAGTTAACAATTTACTTGTTTTATATTAATGTATATTTATAAAATTTAATCTTATATTAATTTATACTAGCTGCGAAAGTTGACATTCAAGAAACAAGTGATTCTCTCTTGATTAGCACTTATAAACAAATAAGAATTACTTATTGTTTAGTTACTTTTATTATTTGCGATGTTTAGCCACTTCTTATTTTAAAATGTTTGTCATTTAGAGCATTGATACATAAATGTGTGCCAAGTTATTCTTTTCCATATGACAAAACCATAAAAAATATTATTTTTGATTCCTATACATAGACTCATAATCAGATAATCAAATTAATTAGAAATACTGCGCAAACTATTAATCTAACAACGGACCTTTGGACAGCTAAAAGTACTACGGATATCTTGGAATTACAGAAACTTGGCTTGATAATAATTTTAAGTTATATGAAGCACTTTTATTTTGTCATTATCTTCTCTATCCACATACTGGCGAAATGATTAGAGATGAATTAATAAAAGTTATTCAAGACTGGAATTTAAAAAATAAAATATTTACTATTGCTACCAACAACAGATCTAATATGATTAAAGCTTGTTATTTGTTAGAAAAATAATTTAGTTCAGTTAAACATTTGTCCTGCGCTGCACATACACTTCAACTTTCCATTCAATTTGGAATTAAATAAATAACAGCAATTTATAAGCAGCTTAAAAATATACAAACTTTTTTTTGCAGTCCCAAACAAGTTCAACAACTTCGTGAAGCACAAGAAAGTATTATACAACATCAAGATAATTTTACAGCAAATAATAATAATTACTCAAACCCATTAGAGGTTTTAACTGATTGTAAAACTTGGTGAAATAGTTCGTATCTTGCATAGAAAAGAATTGTAAATTTAGATGATGCAATTAGAAGTGTTGCTGCTACACTTTGTTTATCACCAAATTCACAAGTTCATAATGAAGGTAAATATCTTAATAAATTATGTCTTAGTTCTGAAGAACTTAAGTAAGTTATTTTAATTATTATTAGAGGGTTTCATAATTAATAATTTGATATCTGATTTCAGACAAAATAAGTGACATATTTATTTCAAAATATGTGATATATAAATACTTATTTACTTAATTATTTACTGGTAAATATTTTTTAAAAAAATAGAATAGAGTCTTTTAAATTCTCACTTATTTTCAAAATACATTAATTATGAAACCTCCTATTATTATATGACAGAGTTAAACCCATATTGTAAATTAGTAAATTCAAGTTATATTTTTTATTATACAAAAGCGGATTACATTCTCATGTAATCCACATAGCGGATTTTACTAATTCAAGAGCAGGTTTTATTTGAATATTTATTGAACATTTATTAAATATTTATTTTTTTTTTAGTTTCATTAGAAGTATAATAAAACTTTTAGCACTATTTGAGCAAATAACTCGAAAAGTTTCTGGTGCAAAATATCCTACTATTAATTTGATCTATTCTTATATGTACTTGTTAAAACAAAGACTTTCACCAACTGGTAATAATACAATAGAAAGCTACTTAGACTTAATCTACGGTCCAGTCTTATCAGAAGATACTAATGAAATTAATAATATTGATAGTAGCACAGATAGTAGTGCTGAAGATTCAGCATCTAGCTCTGGTATCTATCGTCACTTAAAAAAAACCTCTAGTGAAATTCGTAAAA